ACCTGAGGGTAGGGATCGATTTCTTTTAGGCAGACATTGAGGAGAGGGCGGCGCCAGCCTGGGCTGAGGATTTCCCTTCATCTAGTTCTCCCCTCGCCCATTGTGGCCCATTTGAGTAGGGTGGAGTTCTTATTACCCGTAGCCGTTTCTTCTTGTCCTTGTCTTTGGGAACTTGATGCTGGTTTTGATCTTTGCTCTGACTCGTTGGACTGCACCCAGAGGGGCTGATTCTGAATGACTCCTGTGCAGGTAAACAGGTGCCTCTTGGCTGCTAAGTCAGAGTCTGTGTCATTTTTGGGGTGTCATTCGATGCTCCCTGGGTCCTGACTCTTCTTAAAGAAGAGAGGCAGAGATAGGAAATGGGAAAGGAATAAGCATTTATATAGTGCCTACTGTGTGCAGGCACTGCACTGAGTGCTTTACAAATATGATCTCATTTGGGCCTCACAAAAGCCCTGGGAGGTAGATGCTGTTATGACCCCCTTTTTACAGTTAAAGAAACTGAGGCAAACAGTTAAGTGACTTGCCCAGGGTCACACAGCTAGGAAGTACCTGAGGCTGGATATGAACCCAGGTCTTCCTGACTCCATGCTGGCTGTCTGCAGGTGGGCCACAGGAGACTTTGGAGCCATCTATAAACATTCAGCCTTTGGCCTCTTCTTTCTTCACTCTGCCCCACATTAGCCAGCAGGGGCTTTGCTGTCCTGCCCCATGTCCACCTGTGCCTGGAAGCCAAAAGGATCAGTCCTCCTTTCCCTGGCTCTTCGTTCTCTCCATCAGGACCGGGCAAAGCCCTTCCGGCAGACTCCCCCTGAGCTTGGCCAGGCCTGGTGACCGAGTGGCCCATAAAGTGACCGCTCTTGTCCCATTGGACATGCCCTAGAACCATCCAGCCGCCTCCTGGTCTGACTCTCCAAGGCGCCATATTTCCAGGGGCACGTCACTGCCATTTCCTGTTTTCACTGACAGCGAATGTGAGCAGAACAAGAGTGATAATAACAACCACCACCACCACCGGCATGGCATCCGTTTAGCCCTTTCAGGTTTGCAAGCGTGATTATCTAAGTTGCACAGGGAGGGGCCTCCCACAGCAAGGCCTCGCCGTGGTTGCTGAACCAGTGTCTCACACGGACACCATGGCACCAAAAACCAAAATTGAATTTGAAAGAGATAGAGGGCATTCCAAAAGCCCGGCAGAATGGCCTGAGAGATTCAAGGAGGGAAGGGGAGACGTCTGGGTCGACAGCTCCGGGGGGGGCGGGGCAGAGTGGATGGCGGGTGTCCAGGATGGAGGACATGAGGGTGTGTTTGCAGGCAGCAGGAAGGAGCCGCTGGCACCCTGGCCCCATCCCGCGTTGTAGGCCCCCACAGAGGACGCGATTCTATCCCTCTTGTCTTATTAGATTTGTCCGGACCTGGGAGATCCAAATTCTGCCATCCCACATAACCTGCCCCACCCCTGCTGCCTGCGTCCACCTATTTTAAAAAGATGCCATTTATGGCAAATCACTGACAAAAATGGTGATCCTAGTGGGGCTAAGGATAGAAGGCTCTTCAGGACCCCTGGGGCCCCATCGTTCTGAACTCATGAGGCACCCTCACACCCTCCCATCAAGTCAGACACCCTCATGAAATCTAGATGTGGAATATCTATCCCTAACCTTTTGGGGGCTGTGGACGCCTCTAGCTTTAGTCTGGGGAAGCCGATGGGTCGTGTTAAAATAGAGGCCGCCTGTCCCCAGTGCCCTGGCAGGGGGGGCACCTGTGCTGTCCCTGCTGGCTCAGACTGCATTAGGGCCTTGTTAGCCCGAAGGCTGGCCGGCCAGCTTCCCCAGGGCAGCAGATGTCCAAGAGCTCATTAGCCTGTTACCTCATTCTAAGCAGCAGCAGGGATGCAGCTGCCACGGGGAAGGTAGAGTGAGAGGCGTGGGCTGGGCCAGGCGCAGGGGGAGGGTGGGCAGTTCTCTCTTGTTCCTCTTCTCTACTTTCTCTGGAAGTCTGGGCAGACACAGGGGGAGTCTCAGGGGCAGAAGGGCCTAGAGCCAACAGCAGTCATAACCCAAGTGGTTAGCAGAAAGCACCCCCAGGTGCCAGCCACCAGGCACATTGAAGAATTCCAGCATGTCCCTTAGCTGCATGGCAGGAAGGCCTCCAGGAGTGGGCAGGGGTGGGTGGGCTTCCCCTGACACAGAGAGGTCTGGCCCACTCAGCCTAGTTATTGCAGAGGCAGCCAGCCCTAGAATGTTCAGCAGGGAGGGGCTTGGGGACCCCATTGCACGAATAAAGAAACTGAGCCCCAGAGAGGAGAAGGTGACCTGGCCAAGGTCACATGGGCAGGGATGAGACTAGAGTCCAGAAGTCCTGACGCCCATGGCAGTGCCCCGTCTACTTGCCCCTACAGATGCTCTGTCCAAGCCTTGAATGTCCTTAAGACAATATTATTGCTCACTGAAACTCGTGGGCTAGTCCTGCTTTCCTTCTTAGGGGGATACGGGGAGAGGGATGATGGGTCTGCCTCTGTCCACAGACAGAATAGGAGGTCACCCATATCAAATGGTCTCGGGGAAGGCCCTCGCCCCAAAACCGCCCCCAGCCTGCCACCTTGTCTGAAATACCACCATTTCTTCTGCCCATCTGCCAAGCAGCACAATACTGAGGGCCTGGCTCAGAAGCTTGGGCCCTGCTGCTTACTAGGTCTAAGGCCTAGGAAAGTCACCTGAAGCTTTCTGGGCTCAGTTTCCTTATCTGTAAAATAAAAGGATTGGACTAGATCAATGGTTCTCAACCTGGGGTCTGTGAACTACATGTGTGTGTGTTGATGATATAGAACCGTATTTCAAAATCTTTTCCTTTCCCTTGTAATCCTAGGTGTTTTATTTTATGCATTTACAAATTCTCTTCTGAGAGGGCTTTCCTATGATGGGCAAAGGGTTCCAGGAGGTAGAAGGGCTAAGAACGCCCATGCTCCTAGCCTCCAAGGCCCCTTGCTGACCTAAGTTCCCTGATCCCCTCTAGGATTCTCTCTGGACACCAGATTCCCCCACCAGGGGCAGATGAGCTCATTAGGCGCTTCCCTCCCAGACTCGGGGCTCAGGCACTCGGGGAGAGGGAGAAAGCCCTAGCCAGAGGCTGCCAGAGGCCAAGAGGGAGGGGGCCAGGGCTGGGGGCCGCCTCCCTGCCTTTGTGACTGCCCCAGGCTGCTCCTGGTGGGGTTGGGGGTTGTCAAGGCCAGGCTGTGATCTCTGGCCCCCAGGACAACCTGTGGAGCTCCGGGGTCTGGGACAGCTCCACAGCTGAGCTCTTGTGCTCATCCATCATTTTCCCTCAGGTACCTGGGAATTCCTTACAGCATCTTCTGTTTAAATAATGGCTCGCTCTTCAGCTCAATTAAGACAACAGTCCCTTTGGGCACGTTCCCCCCACGGTCAGCACAAAATCATACTCTGTCTGCATCTGTACCATCCCAGACCAGCCTCAATCCTGCGGCCCACACCCTCCCCAGATGGCGAGGGCCCACCAGCATGCCTCAAACATTTATTAAGCCCCTACTATGTCCTAGACACCAGAAGGACAAATACAAAAACCAGGCAGTGGACTTACTGTGGAGCCATCCAGCCATTCACAGGAGAGAAGAGCCAGCCCTCACCCCCATGGCCTCCCCCGCCACAGCCCAGATATACCAGGTGTGGCTCAGGTGCCCACCTGACCCCTGTGGCAACCAAGCCACCACCCCTCCACAAACATCTATCAAGCTCCTACTATGTGCTAGGCACCAGAAATACAAACACAGCGTGCATTCTTCAGCAAGAAGAACCCGCCTCACCCGGTCACTGAGAGCGCAGCAAGATCTGCCCTTCACCTGTTACAGAGGGATGGAATGAAGAACCTGTGTCCCGGCCAGGGGAAGGGACTGAGCCAAGGTCACACAGCTCAGCGCTCCTTAGGAGGCACAGGCCTGCCACCGAGCCTCAGGCAGAGGGCGAGCCCCCCGTGGCAGGCACTGACTTCATCGTCTGTTCGTGAGCCCGGGCCCTGGCTCCGGTCACAGCAGGCGGCTCTCCCTGGGTCTCCTCCTCAGGCTCCGTCATCCGGGTCACCCCCACTTACTGGAGGGGGGTCCCCGGAGTCCTCTCCTCTTCTCCCTTGGTGCTCTCTCCCTCGGAGACCTCACTGGCTCCCACAGGAGAGTGGGTAGCAGAATGCTCCAGGTCCTGCTTGCCTTCATCCTCGCCTGTCTTGTGACTCTCCTCCCCACAAGCCAGCTACACGGTCCCCTCCAACCCCAAGATGTCCAGTGAGGCCTGGCTGCCTCCCCAGCGCCCTCAGCCTCCGCTCAGGCCCCCCACGACTCAGACTCCCCTCAGCTCATCTGTCTCCTCTTCTGTGCATCGAGTTCTGTCTGGGCTGGCTCCTCCACTAGACAGAGAGCCCCTTGAGGACAGGCTCTGCTTGCCCCCAGCACCTGGCAAGTGAGCCTAGCTCACAGTAGGTGCTTCCTAAATGCTTGTTCACTGACTGCCAGACCCTCGGTCACCATGTGAATCCGGACAAGTCACTTCCACCTGAACCTCAACCTCCCCATCCATAAAAGGATGGCACTAATACCCATAAATAAGGACCAGCCTCCAGAACTGGGGGACTGGGGGAGACAACCCAGGGAATGGGCTTTGCACGCCTCAGAGCACCCTGGGAACTCCAGCTGAGGTCTGGCCCAGGGTGGGAGTGACCTCTGAGGAAGGCCGAGGCAAGGAAGGAGGGCATTCCAGGCCTGGGGACAGGGAGCCAATAGCCGCCATGATGTTGGCTCTGAGCCCGGCATCTGAGCCGCTCTTCACTTTGGTGAATGCTCCCTGAGGGCAGGCTCCCCCCTTCAGACCAGGATGGCCAGGTGCCCAGCGGCGCTGGTTTCCGGGGTGCCTTGGGGGTGGGGCAGGGATGACGACGTCCCCTCCTCCTGACATCGTTGGGCCCTCTCTCCTCCTGTCCTCCTCTCTGTACAGGCTGCCCTTGGATGTGGGACAACATCACGTGCTGGAGGCCGGCCGTCATGGGACAGGTCGTGGAGGTTGGCTGCCCTGAACTCTTCCAGATTTTCAATGAAGGTACATACAGCTGCCTGTTCACCCTTGTCTTAGCCTATCTCTTGTTACTGCTAAAGATGGAGAATGTCAAGAGTGCCAAAGAGTACCCGGGGCTGATCCTTCCCAGGGTCCCCTCCTGCAGGGCTGGAATGTGTGGCGGGGTCATACGGGGCAAAAACATTTGGGTGGAAGCAGCGCAGCAGACAGCCTGAGTCTGGTACCACCTCGCTGGGAGAATGAGGAGTCCAGGGCCTGAGGCACTAGGAGGGAGGACAGTTGTAGCTGCTACTGGCAGGAAGCAGCCCCCGCCCCCACCTGATGTCAGACATGGGACAAAGCCCTGCTTGCCTCATGTCAGGTAGGTCTCTGCCCTCCAGCTCTCCCTAGTCTCCGGGGATGTACAGCATGGAAGGGAAACTGAGAGAACAGAGAGAGAGTCAGGGCCAGGCTTGTGAGGGGTGGGAGAATACGGAGACAGAGGTATTGTCCGGGAAGCTCCCAGATGACCTAAGCTGGTCTGAGATCAGGCAGGAATCCTCAGTGAGGACATCTGGAGATCTCCCCCAGACCCAGGATGCCCTGGCTGTCCAGACAGATGCTGCCCCTTGTGACTATCGCTGTTCTGACCCAGGGACATGCCTTCCCCAGCAGCGAGGGGCCCACCGTGCAGGGGACACTACCCACATGGGCCTGTGTGAGTCCTGGCTCCCATATTAAGTGACCCCAGACCTGTTTGCAGAGGTACAAACCCAGAAGCATCTCATCCATTCACACTCCCCTCCTTCAGGATCTGCCATCATTCGGTCATCCTAAGGGGGACCAGCTGTGATTCTCCAACTAGGATTCAAGGTGGTTCTAAAAACACTAACATTATCAATAAGGCACAGGAAAGACCTGGAAGGGGTGGACATCTGTGAGAAGACAACATTATCCCTACTCACAGACCACTTAGAAAACCCCAGAGAATCAGTAGATAAATAGACTGAGAAGATTAATAGCTTTAGTAAAGCTTTCTTCTCGTGGTCTTTTAATTAACGTGACAAACATTATTGGACATGTATTCTGTTCTGTGCAGGACCCAAGAAGGAATTTGATAATAAATAATGTGAGTAAGACTGCAAGAGGCCTTTGAAAGCCACTTAATAGAGCAAAATGCTCCTACAAACTTTCTCTGCACCTGTTGGCACATAAACCACTAATGGGCTAATTACATGAGATTCCGACTGTTTCCCTCCAGCAGGTCCCTATAGTACAATACTTGGCAACAATTACTTAGTATGAGTCATGGTACATATTGGAAAGAAATAGAATTGCCCTCTTTGAAAACATTGAGACTTCTGGTTAATTTAAACGATCCTGGCTGGAAATTTGAGAGGTTTGGTGATGATCATTTTTCTGCCCAGGGAGAGGCCGTGTCTTAGGCACTCCCGGGGCTGTTAGCTCCCAGCAGAGTTATCCTTTGTACGTTTTAAAGCCGCAGTGAGTCGAGGGGTTCAGTCTAGATGGGGTGACTAGAGTCACAGACAAGGAACAGTGAGGGGACAAGGCAGTCTTCCAGGTCTTAGAAGACGCAACCCTAATGTGCCAGGATAGATAAGGGCCCAAGTCCAGGAGGACCATGAAATCCCAGCAGATGTCATATAACAAGAAGGACCCCAGTGTGGCTCAGACAGTCACCAGGATGGAAGGGAGAAGAAGAGGGTCAGAGGCTCCCAGAGGCCAGGAGGCTTCCTTGAGGAGGTGGGAGAGCTTGATCTGGGTCTTGAATGACAAGTCCAGCTGCTGACACTTGGGAACAGTTTCAGGTCCTCAAACATTTCACATCCATTATCTCATTCAATGCTCACGAAAGCTCTGAGATAGGTCCAGGATACAGAATTATTCCCATTTGAGGGATGGGGAAACTGAGGCTCAGAAATGGCTTCTCTGATAGTAAGTGCCAGAGCCATGATTAAGCCCAGGAATTTCCCAACTCCAACCTCAGCCCTCTGTCTGCTCTGCCAAAGGACAGCGTTAGAAAAGTCAAGCAGGTGGGGGCATTCCAGGTGAAAGGAATAACCCCCTTCCTTAGCCAGCACTTTTAGCCAGTTCCCAACTGTCCATAGCCACTGAGCAGAACCCATCCATGGCAGTCTTAGGTAGCCGACTGTGCCCCCCGCATACTCTTTGTGCACCCCATCACCCATGCATCCACATGCACCCACTCTCCACTTCAAGGCTGTGCCTGGGCACCCAACAAGATACAGTCATAAAATCTCAGCGCCTGATGAGAGCTCAGGGGCCACTAGTCCAATCCACCAGCCTGCCCAGCCAGTGGCCAGGCGGCCTCTCCTGGATGACCTCTGGGGAGGGGGAGCCTAGCACCTCCCAGGACCATCATCAGAGGAAGTTGTGCATGGTCCACAGAGCAGGGGAACCGCCTGCCCCCCCCCGCCAAGGAATCAGCAGAAGACGCCAAAGATGGGACAGAGAGCAGGACGTGTGCATTGGACTGAGTGGGGACAGCAAACGTGTCCCCAAGTCCTTCCAGGAAGTGAAGGAGGGACGGAGCGGGGAGCAGGCTGCTGGGTTCTAACGATGTGTCTCCTCCATGTCTTGCAGGAGGATTTGACTTAGAAGACAATGAAGCCCTGGATGCTTCAGGTAAGTAGGAGGGTTCACGGCCTCCTCGAGCACTAGAGGGGAGACCCTGGGGGCCACTCAGGTACATTTGTGCTGGCTAAAGCTCTCCTGGCCTCTGTGGGACCGTGGCACCTCTCCAGTCCCTTCCTGCCAGCTCTCTGGGTCCCGTGGCCACACCCTCCTCCACACGAGGTATCTGGGTAATCAATCCACTCCTCAGCCCTCCCTCATCACCTCTCACCTGATCTTTTCAATGACCTCTTAAGTGGCTTCCCTCCGCTCTCCAACTCACCCTTCCGTCAATCAGTCAACCAGCAAGCATTCTGAGGCAGCTACGGTGTGCCAGGCATTGATGCAAAGACAAAATGAGCCATCCCTGCCCTCCATCAGAAAAGACAACGGGCACACATCTAAGCTGCTCACGTGATCTTCCTATGCCAAGGGTCTGACTGAGCCACTCCCCTCCCCAAAGCCCTTAGCCTGGGGATGAAATGCAAACTTCTCAGCCTGGCGCTCAAGGCTCTACCCTATCTTTTTAGACTCAACGAACACTCCCCTTTGCACACTCTGTGTTCAGCCACACCAACCTTTTGGCCCTTCCTGAAATTCCACATCCCCCTTCCCGTCCCCCTCACGCAGGCTGTCTCTGGTGTCAGGAAGGACCCTCTTCACCTCCCAGCCTCTGGAGGCCGGTCTCCCTTGGGGGTTCAGAGGAGGCGCCATCTTCCTCACTAAGCTCCTCCAATCATCTGCCCTTCCAACCAGCCTAATTCTGGCTTTTTATAATTATGTCATTCAATTCAACAAACATATTAAGCACCACAAACATCTTGGGTTAGATTTTCTCAAAGAACCCCAAAGATTAAGTCCTGTGAGTGGAATCCTAGATCACAACTCTAAGCTCCCTGAGGGCAGGGGCTGCTTGCTTTCTGCTTTTGCATCCCCAGTAGCTGTCTGGCACTGTGCCTTCTCCTGCCCATCTCCTCCCTCCACATCCTGCTTCCCAAGTTTCTGGGTCGAGTGCTTACTGACCTGTAGAGAGGTGCTTAAGGGCTTGAAGGAGCTCAGGAATGACCATCTAGGACAGCAATCTGGGGGTGAACCCCTCGGCCACCCTGCCCTGCCCTGCCCAGCCCGGCTCCAGTATCTGGCTTATAGCTAAGGCTATTTCTTCAGGGCGAGACTCACCTGCAGAGACGACGTTGGCTCACAGGTTGATGGGGACGCCCTCCTGGTGGAAGGGAAGAGCTGCTGACAGTGGCACTCTTGGATTGGGGGGGTGGGCTGCTCGACCTTGCTGGGAAGGGGAGGTTTCGGGGCCTCAGCAGCCCTCTCTCCCCCCAAGTCTTCAGTCTCCCGTCTCTTGGCTCCACATCCCCAGTGGCTGAAGCCTGAGTGTCCCTGGACAAAAGAGAAGCTCACTCCCTGTTGAGTGGCCCTAGGGAAAGAAGCCTCTCCTGAGGTCCCAAGAGCCACCTGTCTGTGGTGAGAAATCTTGTGTTATGTTTGGGTTCAAAAGCTTTAAGTCTTCCAGGACTGGGGATGGGCAGGCTAAGTATTTCCAGAATCTCAGAATTTGAAGGGGTTCGAAGCCGCTAGTCTGACCCTTCTCTGAACACTAGAAGTGATCATCTAGCCTTTGCTTGAAGCCCTCCATCACCTCGTGAAGGCACCAGCCCACCCTTGAGCAGATAGAATTGTCAAGAGGGCCCACTATGTACAAAGCTTCTGGCTCCTAGGTTCACAGACTTTGGATACCATCCAATGGAGGGCCAATGCCCTCATTTTAGAGATGGAGAAACTCATGGTTGCCAACTCAGTACAATCAGTTTCAGGAGTTCAAAGCCTGAGGATACCAGAGCAAGCTGGAGGGCACACTGGCTGAAAGCGAGGACGAGACTTGTGTACACACACACGCATAAGCACACCCTTGGGTGCAGGCAGGGACAGTACCCCCAATAGCTCCCCATGAGGGACACCCATACCCACCTCAGAAATGTGTCAGTGAAAAGCACACGCATTTTTTTTTGTTTTTTTGTTTTGTTTTTGGCTAGGCAAGGGGGTTAAGTGACTTGCCCAGGGTCACACAACTAGTAAGCGTTATGTGTCTGAGGCCGAATTTGAACTCAGGTCCTCCTGACTCCAGGGTTGGTGCTCTATCCACTGTGCCACTTGCTGTCCCCAAGCACAATTTTTTAACCACCCAGAATAAGCCACTGGAACATGGGAAATGAAGCTATTGGAAGGCCGATCCCAGAACTGTACCAGGGTCACAGCTTAATGTGGGCTGAGCCTCGGGGCTCCCAAGGTGAAGGGGCTGTCCTCAACCAGGTCCTCCCAGGCCCTGGAGGAGAAAAGTATGCAGACCAGGGTCTGGCTCTGGTTCCTGGCTTCCCTCAAGACTCCACCACAGGCTTGGCTCTAGGGATGGAGATGGGCCTTTCCCTTTGGGCTTCAAGGGCTTCCACTCAGATAACCCCAACAATAGGAGGGTCAGCATTCTAGAAATGGTGGGGATATCAGATCATCTAGGCCAAGCTATTCATTTCAAAGAGGAAGAAACTGAGGCCAAGACACAGGCAGCGACTCTTAGGGCCCATGGTCACCCAGCAGGCCAGGGGCAAAGCTGGGCGGAGCTGATTGCACCCCAGCATTCCTGCTGGGCAATTCCAAAGACCCCTGACCTCTTTAATCCTTGTTATTGTTTTCTTGCCTTCAGACACCGGGGTTGTGAGCAGGAACTGCACTGAGGATGGCTGGTCGGAGCCCTTCCCCCACTATTTTGATGCCTGCGGATTCGATAATGATTATCTTGAGGGGGGTGGGAATCAAGTAGGTGGAGATCCCCAGGTCCCAGTAGTGGGTACCTTTCTGGCCACCAACCATGAAGGACAGGCCATTTCTCTCTCTCTCTCTCTCTCTCTCTCTCTCTCTCTCTCTCTCTCTCTCCCTCTCTCTTCTCTCCTCTCTCCCTTCCTCTCTCTTCTCTCCTCTCTCTCTCCCTTTCTTCTCTTCTCTTCTCTTCTCTTCTCTTCTCTTCTCTTCTCTCACTCCTTCTCCCTCTCTCCACCCTTCCTATTCTTTGTCTCTCTCTCTTTCACACACACACACACACAAACACACATACCCCTTGCCCAATCAGTGAATGGCCTCATTTGGTGGATAATGACCTTCCTATTTGCAGGGCTAATGGGCAATGCCTGAATGAATGGCCACTGGCAAAGAATTGGTCTGATGCCCTTCTCCCTCTGGAGAGCCCACAGCCCCAACTCAGAGCACAGGGAGCATCCTCCTACCTGGCCCAGAGGGCTGAGTGGTGGAAGACTGGCAGAGAGAGGATGTTCCTTGTGCCCTGGGTGCTGCCCACCCACTGCTGTGTGGGGTCCTCTTTGGGGAGGAGGGTGAAGGGAAGCCCCGAACTGAGTGCATGTCAGGCCCCCCCCTGCTGCCCTGAGAAGGAAGCCGCTAAGGGAGGGAAGCCAGACAGACCGGGAAGGGGGCAGGTGTGCCCGGCTGAGCCTCTGTGTGTGTGTCCAGGATTACTACTACCTGTCGGTGAAGGCGCTCTACACCGTGGGCTACAGCACCTCCCTGGTCTCCCTCACCACGGCCATGGTCATCTTGTGCCGCTTCCGGTGAGTCTGGCCCCAGGGGCCCTCCCTCCTTTCTTTGCCTCTTTCTCCCACCTCTCTTCACAATAGTTGGAGCCCTCACGTGCATAGATAGTTCATGGCTTCTTATCTGTTCTCATCTGGGCCTCACCAGGGCCGTGGGAGGGAAATACTGTTAGTAGCCCCATTTTACAGATGAGGAAGTCAAGGCTGAGAGAGGTGAAATAATCAGGAGTCAAGTCAAGCCATGTTTAGTGATCACTGCACCTATTTATTAACAAATGTGCCAGGGACTGTGTTAGGAAGTGTTGGGGGCAGGATTCAAACTCAGAACCTCCTGGCTGCAAGGGCAGCTCTAGATCCTCCCTGCCCCCGGCTGACTCTTGTGCCGGGTCACACGGGGCTTCCCAGCTTCCAGATGCCCCAACTCGCCACCCCCACCCCCAGCTGATCTGCACCAGTGACCTCTGTCCATTGGCCGGCTAGCCGCCCCTCCCCGGGCCTCCGAGGATGCCCCTTCCTTTCCCCTCAGTGCTCACAGTGGGATAAACTCCCCAGAGTTTCTTCAAAGGAGCTGGCCGGGCATTCTCTCAGGGAAGCTGCCAGGTCCGTGTTTCCACTACAGACTTTGCTCCGATCACACACTGGCACAGCTCCAAGCCTCCTACCCCGGGAACCCAAGATACCCCCGCACCCAGACCTAAGCAAACGCCTCCTAGGGCTCGGGGACCACAGAATGCCCAGGGGAGGGAAGCGGGGGAGAAGGTACCACCCGGGGGGGGGGCAGAAAGCACTTACCAGGGGAGGGGATGGGGGAGAAGGCACCTACCTGCACAAGGGTGTGGTGAAGTCCCAGGAGTCAGATGAGCCCAGAGAGGAGCAAAGGCATAAGCCCAGAGAAGACCGAGCAAAAAGCTGTGGGTGTGTCTAGACTGGCCAGTGCCCGGTCTTGCAGATACAAGCAGTCTCTGGCCCGAAGGAGCCCCCGGTGTCGCCCAGATCGTCCTGGGAAGTCTGGGGCCTGGGCTCGCGTGTAAATCCTCTGGCCTCCAAGCTCCCAGGGACCTCCCCTGGCCGGAGGATGCCTGGGAAGGGGTTCCCGGTTCTGCGAACTTTCCCAGGAGAGCAGCCAGCTCTTGCCTACCTGGGGCTGCTGAGGAAAGGAATGGGACAGCAGACAGGAGCAGACTGGGCCGGGGGTGGGACATCAGTGCCCCAGCCCAGCTGCCCGCCTCTTCTGGAGCATCCCCTTTTCCTGGTCCCATCTGGCTGGACCTCAGCCTTCATCCAGTTACCCTGGAAAGGTTGGGGCAACGCTGGGGAGTCCATCGGGGGGCTGCCAAGATAGTGAGGAAACAAGCGTCTTTCTCCTCTCTGCCTGCCTCCCTCAGAGGAGGCACAGCGTTGAGGGGACGGAGTCCGCCGGGAAGCAGGAGCAGACGCCAGAGCTCTGGGCCTCCAAGGGTGGGCGTCTCCCACGTGTTGAGTGGCCTTTGTCACTGGGCGTAGATGAATGAGGCTCACAGATGCAGAGCTGGAAAGAACCTCTGTCGCCCATTTTCTAGATGAGGAAACTGAGGCCCCCCCACGGAGGAACAAGGCCATGCCCAGGGTCACACAGGCAGTGGATGGCACAGGGGGAGTGCTCTGATCCAGAGTGGGCAGGACGAAAGGGGGCTATTCAAGAAAGAATTTCCCTCAGTCTTTGGGCCCAATGCGGCCGGTACTGGAGACTGCAGGGAGCCATCTCCGAGGCTGGAACACCCATCTCGGACGGGAGGGTCTACATCCTGTCTTGGTCGGCTGAGAAAAGCGTGGTCAAAGTCCACTTCCAGCTGAGCAGCAGCCCAGGTGGGGACCCGGGGTCCTAGGGAAGCCCTCAGACGCAGGTGGTGGCTGACGCCCTGCTCCTGGGGCCGGGACCCCCGTGGGGCTGGCTCACGCGGCCTGGCGGCGGCCGAGGCGCCCCAGGACATTGGCTGGAGGAGAAGCTGCTTCGTCCAATTAGTGCCAGCTCCGATCGAAGAGCCGCGTGAGGGTTTGCAAAGCACCACTGGTCAGGATTGTTGCATTTGAGCCTCACGAGAGAGATTCTCTTGATACCCCGACTTTACAGACGAGAAAACTGAGGCTGAGAGGGAGTGATGAGCAGCTTGCTCGGTCACAACCCGTCTGAGGCAGGATTTGAATTCGGCTCTTCCTGACTGTAGCACAGTCTCGCTTAGCTCCTGATACTCTCCTCTGGCGTCTGGGATCACAGTCTCAGAGTTGGCGAGTGGGAGGGGTCTCAGTGGCCCCTGATCTCGCCTGGGGCTGAACAGGAATCTTCTCCACCTCCCTCTGGCCACGGAGCATCCAGCCTTTGACTGGCTGAGCCCTCCCCCTCCCGGGCACCTCTAGCCCCTGGAGCCCGTGACGCACTCGGGATGCTTCTACAATTCCGCAGAGAAATCTTCCTGGGTCCTCCCTCCAACCGCTGTGCCCCCCAGCACCCCCTCGGTGGCCAGAAGCACGAGCAGCGCCCACCACAGCTGGCATGCGGGAGAACCATGGAGAGACGGGCAGGGGCCGGTCCTTCCCTGTAGGGAGGTATACAGCCCAGAAGTCGGGAGCTGAAAAAGAAGAGGTGAACCCCACCTGGGAGAGGAACGAGGCCAGATGTGGGGGACACGAGACTCTGGGCGTGACGCATCGCACCGGGAGGGCCAGGGCGGATCGGGGGAGCAGCACGTGGCGCTGACCCGGGAGCCCGCACCGGGTGTGAGGGGCTTCAGAGGTCGCGTGTAGCTGGGGTCACAGGCACGGACAAGGTCAGCCTCCTCTGGGTCTAGGGGAGTCTGAGGGAGATTCGGCCAGGACCCAGAGTCAGGGCAGGCCTTCGGGCCCTTGGAGGCTCAGCGTCCTGGGGCTCTCCGTGGCTCAGGAAGAGGTCCGGGGTCCACAGCGCCTCTCGCGTGACGTGGGGGTTCGTGACGCACCGCTGGTCTTGTCTGCCTGGGGCTTCCGAGGGGAGCATCGAGTGTGGAGATGAGGGCAAGGGCCAGTGAGGGGACGTGTCTGGTGTCTGAGGCTTCTGCTCCCCAAGAACACGTCTACAGGCTCTGGAGGCCAAGCCAGGGGGCTGCCGCGGCAGGAGGAGGGTGCTCCAGGCAGGGGGAACAGTGTGAGCAAAGGCGGGGCTCCCAGACTCGTGCCTGACGCGCGGCTCTGCTGGTGCTTTCGGTCCCATTCCTTTGCTCCTTCTCCTCGTCCCCCAGGAAGCTGCACTGTACCCGGAACTTCATCCACATGAATCTCTTTGTCTCCTTCATCCTGCGGGCCATATCGGTCTTCATCAAGGACTGGATACTGTATGAGGAGCAGGACACCAACCATTGCTTCATCTCCACCGTGAGTGCAAGCCAGGGCCCGAGGAAGGCGGGGAGGGAGGGTCCGGCCCCAGCCCAGGCCCCGCCGCGCCGGGGGAAGAGCAAGGGCCAGGACCCAGAGCGCCTGCCCGGGGAGGCCCTGGGGAAGGAGGGCTTACACCCAGCCAGGAACCAAAGGGGCAGGGCCCAGCAAGCCAGGCCCTTACCTCCCAGAGAGAGAGGAGGCCCAGAGACCCTGCGGGTCAGCCCTGCCGCCAGGGGCCCGAGAGGCAGTGCCTCAGTTTCCCCCATCCGCCCACAGGTGGAGTGCAAAGCCGTCATGGTCTTCTTCCATTACTGCGTCATGTCCAACTACTTCTGGCTCTTCATCGAGGGGCTCTACCTCTTCACTCTCCTGGTGGAGACCTTCTTCCCAGAGCGGAGATACTTCTACTGGTACAGCATCATCGGCTGGGGTAGGTAGGGGGATGGGGGAGGGAGAAGGGAGGGGGAGAGGGGAGGGAGGGAGAGAGGAGGGGGCAGGAGGGGAGGGAGGGAGAGAGGAGAGGGGAGGGAGAAGGAGAGAGGAGAGGGGAGGAGGGGAGGGAGGGAGGGAGAGAAGAGGGGGCAGGAGGGGAGGGAGGGAGGGAGAGAGGAGGGGGCAGGAGGGGAGGGAGGGGGGGGGGGGGGGGGGGGGGAGAGAAGGGGTAAGGGAGAGGGTCCTGGGAGGGACTGCAGGCTCATGGAAGGTTTCCTGAGCTCACAAGCCCTTCTCTCTTTGCTCTGTTCCCACAGGCACCCCAACCATCTGCGTGACAGTCTGGGCGGTGCTAAGGATTCACTTTGATGACAATGGGTAAGTGTGCCTGTATCCCTCCAGCAGGTAGCACACGTTCTCCAGCCACAGACTGACCCTTCTGCCTGGTCACTAACTAGCCCCACTCCCGAGTCCCCCTGCCACAACCAGATCCACCTGGGGGGGGGGGGGGTCCAGTCAGGCCAGAGGGTGGGGCTGTCCCAGCCCTCAGTGCAAGAAGAGCATCTCCCAGAAACGACTTGGCCTCTGCAACCCTGGCCCAGCAGCCTGGGCCTCCCTCCCACCTGGACCTGCCTCCATGGGCTTATTAATAAACGTGTGGTCCAGTGACAGCCAAGAGCCCCAGGGCAACGTCCTGAGGGCTGGAGGGCTCACCCTGTGGTCTGTGGGGTGACCTGGATCTTGGGAGAGAGAGGCAGGGTTAGGGTCAGGACTTTTGTTGCTGAAGGAAAAGGGAGGCCAGAAGGAGAGGAGGAGAGCCTAGAACCGGCACTGATGCTCAGGTTGAGGCTCTGGGCTGAGGCCTTCCGGGCTTCTGAAGAGACGGGTTTGTCCCCTCCACCCTAAGCCTCGGTTCCTCTTTAAGGTTATCTCAGGGGAGCAGCTCAGCCCCCGGGGGTGGAGGGGCAGAAGGGCCAGGGGACAGAGCCTCCCAGAGAGGGACAAACCTTCCTCCTGTCCCTCCCACCTGAACTGCGGGGCTCCGTCTCAGTCTCTGACTCTCTCTGTCTCTGTCTCTGTCTCTATCTGTCTCTCTTTCTTTGTCTCTGTCTCTCTGCCTGTCTGCTTCTGTCTCTCTCTGTGTCTCTCTCTGTCTCTGTCTCCTGTCTCTGTCTGCTTCTGTCACTCTCTGTATCTCTCTCTGTCTGTCTCTGTCTCTCTGTCTCTCTCTGTTTTGTCTCTCTATCTCTGTCTGCCTCTGTTTCTCTCTCTGTCTCTGTCTCTCTCTGTTTCTCTGTCTCTGTCTCTCTGTCTCTGTCTTTCTCTGTCTCCTGTCTCTGTTTGCTCTGTCTCTCTGTCTCTGTCTCTCTATCTCTGTCTACCTCTGTTTCTCTCTCTGTTTCTCTCTCTCTGCCTCTGTCTCTCTGTCCATCTCTCTGCCTCTGTCTGTTTCTCTACCTCTGCTCTCTGTCTCTGTCTCTGTCTCTCTGTCTCTGTCTCTCTCTAGCTGCTGGGAAATGAACGACAACACAGCCCTGTGGTGGGTCATCAAAGGCCCAGTGGTGGGCTCCATAATGGTGAGTGATCCCAGTGGAGAGTGGGCTGGGGGGGGGGGAATAAGGGTGGGGCTGGTCCAGTAGGTCCACGGCTCAGGTCCGAAGGGGCCGGTCCAGGGGAGGAATGTGAGCAATCCTGACTTTGTGGCCTCCAAAGGCTGTGCCTTGCCCTTGGGTTTCTAGTGGTTCTCCTCCTGTGGCTGTGGAGGAAATCTCATGAACGTCTCCACAGTCTGACCATGCAGCGGGGGAGACATTTAATTCAATCCATTGGGAATTTATGAGGCCCCTGCCATGTACCAGGCACTGAGGGAAAATGGAAACCAGCCCCAGCCCCAACATGGGCACAGAGAAGCCAATAACAAAAGTAAGCTTTACAAATATTCTCTCATTGATCATCACAGCAGCCCTAGGAGATAGGTACTGTTGTTATCCCCATTTTACAGTTGAAGAAACCGAGGCAAGCAAAGATGAAGTGACTTGCCCAGGGCAACGCTGCTATTAAGTATCTGAGGCTGGATTTGAACTCAGGTCTTCCTGACTTCCGGCACAGAGTTTGGTGCCCTGTGGCATCACCTAGTGGTGTCTACCAAAGAACCTCGGGGATGGGTTGGGTGGAGGGATTTGGAGGAAGGACAGTTGGACCAATCTGTGAAGGGAGGCAGGGGTTCCAGTGGGCAGAGATGAGAAGGAAGGGCACACAACAGCCTGAGCAAGGCCTGGACACTGGACGTGAGCGCCATTTGGGGAGCTAGAGAGGAGGTGGCTGCCCTCAGGCAGCTCTGAGTGCGAAAGGGAAGACAAAACTGGCGTAGAACCAACAAGAGTGACCCTGCTATCTGTGAGGCTGCCGGGCTGGGCACTGTGGGTACAGGAGTCAAAGGGTGGCCGGCCCTGCCCTCAGAGAGCTTCTGCTCGACGGGGAGACAGCAGCCCAAACAGGCACCAGTCACAAGATAGGTGGAGGCTTCATCCAGAAGGTGGCTCAAGCTGCACTCTAAAGGAAAACTAGGAATTCCAGGGGGCACAGGGGAGGAGAGAGGGCACACCTGGCATGGGCTCAGCCTGAGCAAAGATGCGGGGGCAGTAGATGGGGCATTGCTTGTGAGCAGCTGCAGGATTGCAGACTGTGTGAAGGTCTGGGGAGGCGGCAGGGGCCAGAGTGAGAGTTTGCGTTTGGCTGGAGAGAAACCACTGTAGTTTGTTGAGAAGACATGCTCTTTGGAGAGCTCCCTTTGGAGGCTGAATGGGCTGGAGTGAGGAGACCCCTGAGGTGGACAGACCCTCAGCAGCGACTGCAATAGTCCAGGTCAGAGGTGATGAGGATGACCAGGGGGTTGTTGAGTGAAGGAAGAGAAGCGGAGCTTCTTTATAGGAGAGAAGTCATCAAGGTAGCATGACAGTTAAAATCAGGTAAACTGAGGCACAAAGTTCTGAGCATATCAGTTTATTAGTAAAGCGAGAGTTCACCAGGACATGGGAGCTCCCCTTCCCCAGTAAGGCCAAGACCCAAGGGGGGGACAGCTCTTTTACAGTTTTGGGGGGTACAGAACGAAGAACGGGGCATTGGGGGCAGGGAACAAGGTATGATTGGGCACGGGGCGTGGGGGACAACAGGAGAGGTTGGAAATTGGGAGTGAGGGGCTGCCAACAAGCCCCTCCTTCCCTCCCGTGACTAGTGAGTTCATTGTTTGAGTCCAGTTTGAAGTCAGAGGGAGGGGGCCCGGCTCCCGGCTCCCGGGCATCCTTGAAGGATGGCTCGGTGGACCAGCCCCCCGCATCCCCCAGGGACAGCCGGCTTCCTTGAGGCAAGAATGGAATGGTGATGAGCAAGAGGACTGGCTTTGTAAACTCCCCCGGCACAGGCCAGCTGAATTCTGAGCTCAGTTCAGGACCAAAAACCACGACTGGGGCAGGCACAGGACAAGATGGATGAATTGTAGAAAGGGTCAGTCACAAATGATCCAGAATCAGTCCGAGTGTTTCAGTAGGAATGACAAGATGCTGCAGCTGGGCAGATATTTGGGAAGCAGGAATGACCGAATGAGTAAAGATCACTTATGATGCCCAGCATTGAGCTTAATGCAGGGAAGATGGTAAGAAGTCAGGCCTGCCCTCGAGAAGCTTACATTTTAACAACACATTTAGAGGAAAGGCAGGCAGAGAAAAGAATTGGGATTTGTTTTTGTTTTTGAGAAATCACAGGGATGGTGAGAGCAGTTGTAGGGGATGGCACTGACATACCCCTTCAAGAAGCAACAGTGGTATTCATTTGATTTCAAACCCAGAGTAAAAGGAGAGGGGGGTTGGTGCACCCACTGTGGATGGTTGGTTGGCCAGCTGGGAGGGGAGGCCTGGAAGCTGGTGCCAGGCCAGCTCAGCCCCCAGGCGAAGATGGCCCGGGGAGAGGGCCAGGATGACCAGGTGGGCGGTGGTGCCCTTGACAATAATAGGGACGTTCAGAAGATGGGAGGATTTGCAGGGAAAGACGCTCGGTTGTTTCGGGTCTGTCTGAACTGCTCACCCAATGGTTGGTGATGTAGGATCTGAGCCCAGGAAGGAGGCGAGGGCCTCATCTGGAGGTCTGGGAATCGTCTGCACAAAGCGAATGACGGGGGAAATGTGTACACATTTTAGAACTGGACGTGCGTGTTGACAAGAAGGGGAAGTGTGAGAAGCTAGCGAGGGCCGGGGCAGAGCCGTGGGCACGGCCCGTTAGGGGTGTGGCTCAGACCCTGCCACATCGGGGGAGGCTGAGCCGGACCGGCGCTTCTTCCATTCTCTCTCTCACTCTCTTCCTCAGATAAACTTTGTCCTCTTCATCGGCATCATCGTTATCCTGGTCCAGAAGCTCCAGTCCCCGGATATTGGAGGCAATGAATCGAGCATCTACCTGTGAGTACCAGCCTGTGCCAGGCCTGCCCCCCTCCCCGCCCAGGCCGCTCTGGAGTGTACACATAGGAAAAAGGGGCACGTGGAGAGGGCGGCGAGGGTGGGTTCCCCTGGTGCTGGCAGATCCCAAGAGAGCCAATCCGCAGCCTGTCCGGCGAAGGAGACGTTTTATTCCGCAGCGCTCCCGGGTTGTCCGCCCTCCGGCCAAAGACTTGATGCCTCCTCCGGGGTGAGGAGGCCTAGGTTTGATCTGCTTCCTCTGTGCTGGGGAGGACTGGGGATGCCCCAAAGCTTCTGGTCCGGTGGAAAGCTGGTCAGAAATGGGCTGCTCCCGCCCCATCTGATCACTCAAGAGACTGCCCTGGTTCCTCCGGCTCCCCAGTGGCTGGCCTGCAGACTTCTGAAAGGGGGCAGCGCCCCCCACCCTGCCCCGTCATCTCTCCCCATTCGTGGCCAAACAAAAGACTGTTGTCTGTGGTGCCTGGTTCATTCAGGACGCCCAGAGCCATCCCATCTCTGGGTTGGGAGGGAGCTCAGCACTCATCTTGTCCAAACTTGAATGAGAATCCTTTCCAGAACATTCCTCACTGGCAGTTGTCTGGCCTCTGCTCGCAGACCCCCAGTAACGGGGTCCTCACTACCTTACAAAACAGGCTGGTCTACTTTGGACGGCTCTGGCTGTTAAGAAGAGCCACAAGACGAGTCTCTGCATCTCTCCCCTCGTTCCTTGTTCCGCCGGTTCTTCACAAGCCTACAGAGCTCCCGTCAGATCTGCTCTCAGCCTAACAGCGCCCATTCTTTCTATGAATCCCAGAAGGCCCTGTGCTCTCCAGGCCTTTCCCCTCCTGGCCATCTTCCTCCAGACTCGTCCTTCCAGGAGAGGCCACAGTCCCCCTGACAGGCTTAAGCCTCCCTCGGTGTCCCTGGGTGCGAGGCAGCCAGACCAGCATCGCCATGCACCACCCAGATGTCCCCTTGGTATCCTGAAGCTGGCATCTCAACAGAGTTCAACAGACACACACATAGACACAAACACATAGACACACACATATGTACATATGCACACGTGCACACACATACAATACATGCACACATGCACATTCACACACGTGTACATATATGCACATACACAGCGCACATACACATGTGTGCACACATGCACACACATGCGCACATATGCGTACACATACTCTTGCCCTCAGCTTTGTGTCATCTGCAGACTTAATAAGGATGACGTATACTCCTTTGCCCAAGTCACTGATAAGAATGTTGACCAGCACAAAACTGTGCGTAGATCCCTGAGGCCCTCCCCTGGAGACCTCCAGTCCTCTGCTGGAGTCCAGACCATCATTCCACCAATGTCTTTCAGTGTTGTTTTCCTTAAGGTCCTTGGAGACCTTGTTCTTCTGGCCCAGACCACTTCACTCTGTATCAGCCCATTGGCGTCCTCTCAAGATTCTCTCATTTCTTCAGTATTGCTCATGGCGGCACATTCATGTGTGGTGCCAGTCCCCAGTGTGCCGCTGGGGATCCTTCCGTCCCCAGGCCCCCTTCCCTCTGCTTTGTCCTCCATGATGCAGATGACCTGCAGGAGGGGCTTGGACCTCGCCGAGTGGACAGATGAGTGACCTCTCCAGTGTAAACCTGAGCAGCCATTTGGGCCCCTCAGCCACAGTCAGGGCCTCCTGCTTCTTCTGGTCTCTCCTCCACCCAGATCTCCCTCCCTTGGAAGCCTCCCAGTCATGCTGTGACCCCACCTTCATCTCTTTCCTCACTGGTTCAGAAAACTCAAGAAATGGCCGGCAGCACCTGCTGTCTCCTGTCTTGTCCCGTCCAAGGATCTGGGGCCAGCTGAGCTTCCCGAGCCAGGGAGCCTGGAGGGGCTGCGGGACGGGCCCACTGAATGAATCACAGGCCCATTCATTCTGTGTAGAAAGACGCACCTTTGGCCAATGACCCCTCCTTGAACATCCATCTTCAAGACTCCGAACGTCTCACCCTGGAAGGGCAGCAGGTCAGAAGAGAGAGGCGGGGCTCCCGCCTGTGTGTGACTCCAGGACACTTTCCTGGCTGAGCTGTCTCCGAGGGTCCCTCACACTTCAGACAGGCTTGGATTAAGCACCCACAGAGAGCCAAAGACAAAAGCAAAGCAGTCCCTGCCCTCAAGGGGCTTACATTCTTCCCTGTTCATGGAGAAAGGAAGAACTCCCAATTCTTAGAGTCTTGGGGAGGCGGTAGGACCTGCAGCTCTGCCCTGCCTGTCAAACTGTACGCATTGAGAGAGCCTGCCTGGGGCTCTTCCTCTTGGAAGCCCGCGGGCCTCCGCTTGCTAAGGAACCAAAGCATGCTGTCCACCCACCGGGGGATAGGCTGGAAGTGGGCCTGGGACGCTGCACCATTGGGGAAGGGCACAGGACAGAAACTCACTTTCCTCACAGCTGTTTTTCCTATGTGTATAACAAGAAAAAGAGAGCGAGATTGTGTGTGTGTGAGAGAGACAGACAGAGAGAGAGAGGGAGAGGAGA